ATTTTGCGGAAATCCAAAAGTCCTCCCAAAAAGTGAAAATCCATAAACAGCATTCTGACTTTTTATTTGCTACTCTTCTAAATTGCAAACTATTTAGTTGTCCTTGACTTTGGCATCTGGTTGTGCACTCCGCTCCAGCATCACCGTCTCTAAGTAGTCGCTAAAGCATCTTGATTATGTGAACCTTATTTTGCTTCTAATACAACGTGTGTGTGTGTTCGACCATCGATTTCGATGAAGTCCACCAACTGAACCAACAGGTTGGTACAAGATGTGACGGTCTCAGGGGTTAGATTTAAAGTGATAGAGGACGTAGTTAGCGGCTCCGCACTCCTCACCTTCTCCCGGAGTCCTCGAAGACTAAACAGGGTCCAGCGTGGGCTGCTGTATCAAATGCAAGCAAATACACCGCCTAACCTAGTCTTTATACAACGTAACACTGGGTCCGCTCACTGTCGTGATTCGTACGAATCTGAAAAGCTTACTAGATTCACTTCTACGGATTAGTTGCACTTTTTAAATTTATTATACTAACTGCCATGTAATGTTGCCTGGCATTAATGCCCATACAGAAAGTACCTTACTGGAAGAAATGCCCGCAATGTGAATTATTTCAGCCCATTTCATAATCTTTCCTACCCACGAGTCTTTCCCCAACTCATGAATAAGTGGTATTGTTGGTCAAGACCAGCGCCTATGTTTCCTCTTGTTTTTTTATACATGGTTTATGCAATCGGTCACCATGTTCCAGAATCCAAGTAATCCGTATTTGTTCAAATGCAGACATATTAATGTGCTTTTGTTATTAAATGCTTGCGAACTTATTGTCCATAAAAGCTTTACGTGACCCATTCTCATACGAATGACACCAGTATGGTGGCTAATTAAAATTGAATTAAAGCATGTAATCGTCTTTTTTGAAGTAACCTGTCCTCGACCAATCTCATTTTAAAACTTCGTCATATATTTGTCTGTTGACGCCATGCTCGTCAATGTGGTCTTTTTTTATTTTATCGGACGGTAAACTCCCTTACGAGTCCAGAAGCTCAGAAAATGCATTTTTGGTTTGTATGTTACCCAATCTTTATGGCTTACGTGGTTTTCATGAGTTAGTAGACGTGACACCTTACAAGCCGGGTAAACGAACAGCATCGTGTCTTTATTTTTTCGCATAAAAAGCGCCTCAATATAAGGTATTAAGGCAGTCTGACAAAATGTACGCTAAAATACTCATTCGTATTTCGATCATGACATTGTATGAGTTGGATCATTTTCTTTCTATTTCACCATACCAAAAAATTGTCAGACGTTTTCTCCGGAATTTCCATCGTATACAAAGGTACCAGGGTTGTTTTTCTCGGTTGTTTTTTCGCTCATTCCCGCAGTGGCAACATGTGCTGTTTTAAAGTCCAAATCCATTTATCACCAGCTGCGAAATTGCCGTATCACTCAACGCATGTTTGCACATTTTTTGTGGATACACCCTCTTTGCGGTCATGCGTCATGCATCCGCCATCTTGGCCAGACCCGCTAGACCTTCCTGCACTGCTTATCGGTGCTAAAAAGGAAACGTGAGCAGTGGTCCGAGAGATCGAACTTGCATCTGTGACTGTAGGAAGCTAGCTCTTTCTTCCTATGTCTCTATTGGCTGAAACTAAAGCAGAAATTCCTAGTCCAGTGACCCGGTTTTTTCGGCCAGCAGACCTTAATTATTAATCGTTAGTCGTTTGTGTGGCGGGCTGTAGATTCTCAACTCGAAGGTAAGGCGGAAGTGCTTATTTCCGTCCTTAAATCACGACAAATGGGTGCGCACTATTCTCATGTACACCAGAATGGTGGTGGTGGAATGGCCATTTCTGGCTTATTATCCGTCATCAGCGAGCCATACCCAACCCCAAGTTTGGCGGCATCCGAGGCCCTGAAACTATGTCTACACTTCCACGAACGGCTTCGGTTGCAATCGGCTCTATGTCCTCAAGCCCTCTAGTACGATAATCGCAGCTCTCACTGCACTTTGTCTGACTAGAGTTAGTAGCACCAGCTGGGAAGTCTATGATAATATGTTTTTTTTCATTTTTTGTCTAAACCACCTCGGATTGCGCGCTAAACTTGCTACATACTACAAAAAAGTATCGACAAAGAAAGGATAGGTTGGGACGACAATTTTTGAAATCTAATTGGTGTCTAAAGGCACAACCTGACAAGCCCATCCGGCAAACATAGTTAATTTTTCCGATCACAACAGGCGGGACAATGGTCTCAGAGCTTAGTGGTGGACTGTAGACTGCTGAACGCTCAGTGATCCAAGACCCCAGGTTTGAGTCTCGGGTCGTGCAGACCTGAGCCAGAAATGGCTAATCCCCTTGTCTTTGTGCGTTCTCATTCCTGTACATATTTATGATTGGTACGCGACTGCCTCCGAGGGCCCACATAATAAAGGCCGACAATCTGTAGAGGCCATTTACTGTGATGATTCGTGCATTAATCGGTACATCGATTTAGGAGTAAATTCCTGCAAAAATGTATATTCCCCGGACTGATATATGAAAGTGAGAGAGCTAAAATGACAAAGCACAGCGCAAATTAGCGCTTTTTGTCACCTTAAGGCTTTCCTTTGCTGAATGCCAAGGGATTCCTTTTTAAAGACGGCAATTAAGAGGACTAGGAAATTTTGTAATCGTCAAAATACTCTGAGGTCTCTATAAGATGGTGATAATTTAAAGGTAGATCGGAAATTTTGAAAAGGCAGCTTTCGTATGTTATCAACATGTAAATTGATTTTTTTCTATTGCTTTGGTAAGAGTAACGGAGCCAAATAGACGTGTGCGTTCGAAGATAAACATTCTGTCTAATCGCCAAGCCATACCCGCAGCCGAAGTTGCAGATAATCCTTTACAAAGTGTCTGCATTTGCCTCGTTTAGCTTCTTGACAGTTGATAGTCTCCACTTTTTGATTCAGAGCCTTTCTACAGACAAATTGCTGTATAATCATGCGTCGGATTTCCTACAAAGCTGAGGAATTTACATGAGTTTTGTTCACTTTTTTCGAGACAAAACAGCCGTATTCTGTTCTGTCTTGAACCTTCATTGGGTGTTGGATTATTATTGGAAGAGAGAATAGTGCTCTTAAATGTATGGACAAAAGAACACCATCGGCCTTGGAGAAGGATTACCTACAATTTCATTCTGATGAAAGGTCTGTCTTAAAACGTTTGCTTTTACTGGCACGGTTATTCGCAACATTGGAAGTCTCGCACGCTTGTTTGTCTGAGTCAAACACCAGCGCCTGCTTTACTCACTCAAATAGTTTTATGCGTATGCATGTCAGAAAGTTTTATGAACTTTGCTACTGCGCCCGTTCTCGAGTTTTATTTTCCAAATCCTCAAGGTAATGTGGACTCTTGTACTGTGTGACCTTGTATTTTAATGTAAGCTGTAAGGGATTATGTACGCTATTTCCTAGTTCTATTATGTTGGGGTGTCCTCATCGCTCATAATAGAGGAGATGCCATGTTTGCGTTTACTCTCCCCCCGCATTGGGCTGTGCCGAGGCAGTATGATGACTAGACGTTTGTCGCGCATGTGTTCGCCAGGCATTAGCCTTCGCTGCCTCGTCACACTATCCACTGCTCTCGACCGTATTCCCAGTCGACCTGACTCAGGCAGGGGGGCATAGTAGAGGGGCGCTCGTAGCCAGCGCCTAGTTTCCTCTTAGAGTAGAGTACCTAAATTGGTATTCTTGTTTCATTGTACCTTTTCTATAATCTACTCCTTCGTGATTGATAGACTCCTCATGCGACTCACGTGCCTCGTTATACACACACGCCGGCGTGGTGCGTCCTTCAATATTCGATTCATGTGATCTCCAAATAATCTGCCG